GGGGTGCATAATTTTAAGGCCATTTATCCAGCCTTATAGTTATATAAATGAATAAAGAAAAATATAAGGAATATATATAGTACGTTACCTGTGCGAGGCACGAGATATATTTATTTGGGGATTATTATATTATAAGATGCAATATTCAATAAAAGTTTTACAATACACGAAAATAAATATAAATAATGTAAATATCTAAATACATACACAATATGCAGAATAAATAAACCAAATTGCAAATCTGAAAATATAATTTTAAAAAAAAAATCAAAAATATATTTCACTAAACATGTACAAAAATATCTAAATACATACACGAAAAAAAAATATATGTTTCAAATTTCGAAATTAAAAAAAAAAAAAAACAAATAATTTGGCTTATAGATATGATTTGTATGTGCTGCCCTAGTCTTAGAAAAATATTCTCACAATTTGAACTTTGAGCTTAGGTCTATTAGACCTATTGACTTGTTTGATTAACCCAAATCTTTGATTCATTATTTTGAATAAAAGACTGATTGAGGATATTTTTTGTTCGCAGGAGGTTGATAGTGAGGAAGATGATGGCTCGATATTTTGAGATTTGTAATTTATAGTGAGTAGATTAGATATACATTGTTGTTAATATTTTTATTAGAAAATCTGAATTTGAATATACAGAAATCGGTTTGAACAAAATCAGAACTGATTTCTATACAATTAGACTTTTTTATTTTAGTAAAGATTTTACGTACTTTTTTTTTTACTTATCGGATGTTATGGGTTTTTTTTGTTAAACCGATTTTATGGGATATAATACAAATACAATTAGAGAGTTGAACAAAATCAGAATAGATTTCCATACAATTAGATAATAAGAAGGAATTAGATAAGGAAAAGAATGAATTAAATAAGAAATTTTGAATCTGCTTTTTTTTAGTATAGATAGACTTTACGTACAACTTTTGACTTCACCGATTTTATGAGATTTGTTTTGACAAAATTGATTTTATTTTAGTAAAGATTTTACGTCATTTTTTTTGCTTATTAGATGTTACTAGTACGTACCCCGTGCGATGCACGGGGCAGAGATATTATATGAGTTATTTCCAGTCTTTTCAGTTTAACTCTAATAGAATTATTATCTATTTTCTACTTCTTTTAATCAACATTAAGCCAAAAAAACAATAGAGTTATAAGCTTTTTTTCAACATATTTTAACCAGCGTTGTTTTTTTAGTCAGGACATTAAATATGAGCATCTTAGGGCTAAGTTGATAATTAATATAGTATCTCACTAAAATATTTATATTAATAAAAATTTAATTTTAGCATATAAATTTATCCTTTGATATAAGAGAAAGTAACAATTTTACTTATTTTGTTCACCATATAATATTTAATTACTATTTTATTATATAATAAAAAAGAATATTGTTAAATAGTGTAGTAGAATTGTTATAAAATTATATGATTTTTTTTACAATATGGATTTAATATCTTTTTATGATTTGATAATATAACTATAATATATTCTTAATGATATAATGGTTTACTTAGTATAGCTAGAACGCTGGCAAATAGAAAAAATAATATATATATATATATATATATATATATATTAGATGCAGCCAACAATTTTGCTATAAGATAATGTTTTCTCGTTATGATGAGGTTTTTTATCCATCATGTTCTTCTATATATCTATTAGATTAAAATTTAGATGCAGTCAACATTCTGCTATAAGATAAAGGTTTTCTCAGAGCGGGATGCATGTCACATGTCATCTAAACTTTTTGATTTTTTTTTAGTTTGTTAGTTTTACTTATCACAAATTAACCGTGTGAATTGATTTACGACACACTCTACATTCAATTTTACAACATACTTTACATTCAATTAAGACTGATTTTCATTTTCTAATGATTTGTAGAGTTTGATTACTAATTTGACCAACCATGTTGTTTATTGATTTATAAAGTTTGAATATTATTTTGACCAAACAGGAAATATGAACTTGTTGGATCAATGTTGTTAATCTAAACAACCATAAAAGTTTTTCATATTATTTTTTAGTATTTATCAGTTTGTAACGTTTTATCAGTGTAGGAAACATTTTCATGATTTTTTTATTTATTCTACGATTTGTTGATCATTACAGCTTTGAACAATCTATGAAAATGATTAAACCGACTTCTGGCAAATATATATTGATATAGGATATTATCTGTATAAAGACGAACCGATTTGGTGAGCCGGTTGAGAAGAGCGGACCGGGAGCAAACCAAGCCGAAAGGCGGGAATCCACGTGATCGAGCAGCCCAAGGCTCGACCACACAAGCGATCGAACAATCCAAGGCTTGACTGCACAGGCGATCGAGTAGCCCGATGCTCGATCAGACTGGTCGAGCTACCTATCAATCGATCAGATGAGTGATCGAACAAGCTGAGTGATCGAGCAAGTTGACCGACATAAGCCCAGACGCGTGCATAGCAGACGCGCGTGAGGATCTCTGACTGAACTTCAGGAAAATATTTACCCCATGTGCCGGTGGACACGTGTCGACAATGTATTGGGTGATAGCAATAACCACCTCTGACAGCGCCCAACGTCCCGCGGCACCTCTGACATGTGCGCGGCGTGTCAGAGTACGGACGGGCAGATTGGGCAGCCCACGTAGCCTTATCCGGGCAGCTATTAGGGCAGGTATCTCACCCCTATATAAAGGGGGGTGAGCCTTTCTTCCTTAACACATTCTATTCATTCTCTAAATTCCAGTATACTCATACACATACTGACTTAAGCATCGGAGGCTCTTCACCGGACCCAACCCCCGGTGTGACAGTTATTTGCAGGTTCTCGGCGTTCTACCGGCAAGGACAAGAATCGATCTACTCCAAACCGGACCCGGACGCTTACACTTGCATTATATATGAGGTTATGTGTTCGTATATCATAAGTCGCAAACATAATGAATAACATATAAATTATACAGTCAAACTTCTATTCAGTACAAATATATTAAAATAGTTTATATAACAACCATTAAATACCACTTTCAATATATTTATAAATAAAAGAGTACATAAAATTTCTGGTGTGTTCAAATTTAAATAATTTTTTATGGACTCAATTTCAAATCATCAAGACATTTGGTCAAACACATAGGTGTGTTCAAATTTAAATCATTGGCATTTTGTTCGGTTGAAATTTAATTCATCTATCATGGTATTGTGATGTGTAATATATATATATATATATATATATATATATATATATATATATAATTTTTTAACAAATAATATGTGCTTTATAAAAATCATAATAATAATTTCACAAGATTTTAGACGAAAAACTGACCACAATAGAAAAATCATGGTAAAGTTGTATTGGAAATGTGTTATGAGATAAAATAATTAAATAAAATACTTAATGAAAATAGAATGCATTAATTACATTTGACTTTTCTTACTATTAATTCTAGTAAATAGCAGTGTTTTGTGACCCGGACCGACCCGGCACCCGGTCGACCCGGAGCCGAAACCGGTCCGGGTGGGTTAATTGGACAGGGCAACAACGGACCCGGTCAAACCCGGTCAAAACCCGGTCGACCCGGCCTTGACCCGGTTGACCCGGGGCATTGACCCGGCTGGGTCAACCCGGTTGACCCGGTCTATATGTATTTTTTTTATTTTTTTTTTTGTTTTTTAATTTTCTTTTTCTTTTTAAAAAATAAAATTATGTATATATATTTATATGATAAATATATACATATTATTACCACTTTAATCTACAAATTTTACATACAAAATATTTAAATTTGTTATTTTTATGTATATTTATATATCACAAAATACTCTATATATAATTTTATAAATTTTAAAATTAATTATCCGGTTCAGCAATTGACCCGGTGACCCGACGGTTGAACCGGTGACCCGGTGACCCGAAGACCTCCCCGGGTCGATTACCGGGTTGGGTTTAAAAACTATGGTAAATAGGATGACTTTTTGTATAAGTATAGATGATATTTTTTTTCTTAAATTGATTTTATGGGATATAAGACAAATAAATAAAATAATAAAATAAAATGCTGGATAGAAATATCAATGCATTAATTACGTTGACTTTTTAACCTACTAAATTTGGTAAATAGGATACCTTATTATATAAGTATAGATTTTGATTTTTTTTGCTCACTTGATTTTATGGAATTTTTTTATGTCAAGATAAGAAGGATTAAAAATTAGAAGTACAACATAAATTTATAAGAAGAATTTTTTTATGGGATTTACGTACTTTTATGTTAAGATTTATAAGAATGATTTTTTATGTCAGCATAAATTATAAATACATTAATTACTACTTAAGAGCATCCACAATGCTTTAGGTCTCTTAGAAAAAAATCACATGCCATGTAGGAAATAGACATAGTTTATTACAAAATGTTTCACAATGCAATTAAAAGTGAACTTAGTCTAACTTATGTGGCACTAGAAAAAAGAAACTAAGTCCACACTTGGGTCTATTTTGGACCCAAGTGCAAACCCACCTAGTCATTAATTGTTCATAATTTTCTTTTTCTTTTTAATAGGCAAAACACATTTTTTTTGTATGCATTTATTATTACTATATTTTTATTGGTTGTCTAGTATTCTAGACCTAGTATTTTGTTGCTTTGCATTGGATAGATTTTGGATTTTTTAGCTTAGGTTTGTCCATGTCATTATGGACAGAAAGAGACTCAAAAGCATTGTGGGTGCTCTAATAGAATTAGAAGTTCATTAATTAAGTTTGACTTTTCTACCTAATATATTTATATTAATTAAAGTTTGACTTTTCTATCTATTATATTTATATAATTATATTAAATAAGATTAAAATAAAAAAAACTCATCGGCTCCATAATACGCTGGTCGGGCAATCCGATCAAAGCTTTTCCCAATTCCTTTTTCCGCTGAATAGCCTACAAACTGATAGGCGGCGGCGGCGGCGGCGACGGCGGTGTGTTTGGTTGTCTGATGGCCGATCTAATCGAAGAGGATGAAGGGATTGTCAATATCACCCTGCAATCCGTCGGCCCCTCGCCTCGCACTCGCCTCAGGGTTCCATCTAAACACAAGGTACCGCAATTACGCACACTCTCTATATTCCCGAGATCCATGTCAAGGCCTCGTGCTTATCAATTTTCTGAATATTTTGACTTAATTTCTTTTTCTCCGTACCCTAATTTTTCAGTTCTTTTATTTTAAGTTCATTGTTAGTTGCGAGAATCTAGATTAATTTTAATAAATACTTTTTTTTTTTCTGTTGGCTGTTAGTACATAAAATTCTTGGAAGTTTTAGAACCAAGGCTTGCAAATTGCATCTAAATACTGCCCTTTACCAGAATTCGTGATTTAGAACTGGGGGTTGAAGTTTTTGAAGTGGGAACTCGTGATTTTTTGCAGTATCACTCTGAAAATTCAGACAATGTGCACTTTGTATCGCCAACAAAATTTTTGTGACTGTTAAGATGCCACGAGAACTAGTTTTGTATGACCGTCAGGTCCCATTCTTGTTCATCACGACATTATGATTGTATCTTGTTTATTACAGAAAGTGCGGTGTATGTGTATGAGTAATGTTTTCGCCCTGACAAATAGGTTAAAGAGTTGAGAACATTGATTGCCAAGACTAGTCACTTGCCTCTTGAGAATATGACGCTTGTTTTTCGAGGCAATGTGTTACATGACAGTGCAAATGGTGACGATTTATATGTCCAACTCCATGAAGGAGGTGAGGTTCATATTCCTGTTATGGTTAGAACAAACTAGATTATTTTTACTCCCCCTGATGATGGTATATATGAGATGTCTTCTTTTCTTTTGTTTTCCTTTACTGTTTTCTTTTTTCTTCTTCCGTAATGTTATGCGAATTTCTGGGAAATATACATTGTCACAGTGTGCTTCTAACATACAAAGCTACTTTTGCCAGCTTGGCATTATCTTATTTGATTTTGAAGTATGTTTCCATTCTTTAAACTGATGCAAAAATAGTAAGAAGTCTGGTTATCGTTCATACTGCCTTTAAGAGAGTATTTTTTAGTTCCAGCTTTACTGAAATGCGTTTAAGTTGTCCTAGTTCATGTTGATAATTGTGCTTCTAACTGCTTGTATTCTGCATGACCGTCTCTTTTCTGCCAAATTACCGAATTCTCTCCTTAAAAGTATCTTAAATACGTTTCTCCAGGGATAGCATTTGTGAAATAGTCGTGGATAATCTTTCGCATCTGTAACTGGGAGGTCCTCCATTACAAGAAAAGTTAGAGGATATTTTTCTGTTTTGACAATGTTAGTTTTGTTGGGGACCTCTAAGTTATAACTATCATATACGTGAAGCCAGATAAAATTTGGATGTATGTTGTGCTATTATTGCAGGTTTTAGATGGTTTTAGCCTGAACTGGACCCGCTCATGACTAGATCCTTTTAGTTTCCCCCACAAGCCCCTAATTTATTATATGTTCTGCAATATTTCTTTGTATGCTTTCTTGCATTAGTCTTCTATCTCTGAGGAAGATTTGCCTTATTTCTTTTCTAGGAACTGTCATTGTTGCCATCAAACCAAAGTTGCCTGCTAAGTCCATTCAGGACAACTTTGATGACGACGATGGGGAAGATCTTGTTAGTTTCACAACAAATTTATAAATTACTCTCAGACTCCTTAATTTATGATAATCTGAGTCTCATTTCCTGTCCTGTGTAGAAATTCAAACTTCCGGAATCAACCAATAGGTGGAAAAGAAGACTTTTTTCCGTCTTACGTGATAAACTTAGGCTCCAGGGTGAGAATATTTTCCCAATTTCTGTTACAGTTGTGATGTGAGCATCCTGATCAGTGTTAAATTTATCCCTTTGTAGATATGCTTTTGATGGCAATTTTCTCCCTCAGAATAAAGACATGGGCAGCCATTATATTATGGTTTATACTCGCACCTGTTGCCCATAGATTGGGTATTGGGCCTTTATATGTGAGTCTTCTTGTTCTACGGTTATTATTTTGTGTTTCTACTTTTTTACTTGTTGGAGATGTTTGAAACTAACAAACGTAATGATTAGCGTTATCTGACAAATGAAGATACTTGAATGAGAAAAACATTCATAACGCTTCTTATCACATGTAACTGGTGCATCCTTTCAACAACAACAAAACAACAACATAGCCTTTTAGTCCCAAGCAAGTTGGGGTAGGCTCAACTGGTGCATCCTTTGACCTTTGATTTTATGGAGAAAGTCTAATCCTGCTAAATGGGCATTATACAATGGTTATGACTCGTGAATGGCTGTTTAATGTTTAAAAAGACATTAAAAACATGCTACTTAAATAGTAGCAGATTGGCGTTCTAAAGCAAAATCCCGCCCGATCACTTTATAGTTTATTCTAACAGTAATTAACTATATTTATTAAAGTAACTGAAATAAAGATGCGTAACTCTTCTCTTCCGTGTTTTTCTTTTCTGTTTTCTTAATCTGGAGTAGTGCAGATATAATTTATCCATATACAAAACCGGCAAAAAACAAGAGTACACCTTTTTATGAATAATTTTGCTTTTCCTTGAGGATCTCACATGTGTACTGCTACCATTACTATTCAGATAATAGGGACTGGCTTTTTTATCATTTTCTACAATCTTGGACATCGGCAACCTGGTGATGCAAGGTATGCCATTCAGGAACCAGAAAATATCTTATGTTGCCGAGTTCTTTTGCCTGGGGATTTGTTCTGTTGCTTTTAAATTCCACCTGCTATTATAACTCTTTTCAATTTGTTGTTGTACGGTTAAATTTATTTGTACTGGCTTTTTATGTGAGAGTATATGCAGCAACTAATAATATGGTAGGATGCAACTGCATGATGGCATTGTTCAATGATAATAGTCTTTAATGTAATTTTTACTTCAGAGCATTTAGGCTTGATAGTATATACTCGAGAAAATGAAACAGTAAACATGATTTTTAAAATCTAATATTCTCTTGGTACATCTGTGCCACCATCTTTTTTCCTTTTCTGATGAAAACTTATTCTTTTACTGGAACTCAAACATTAAGGAGCATGCTATCTTCCTTGATAAATGACGATCCATTTGCCTTTCTCAATATTCCGAGACTTATTCATTTGTTACAGACGACTGATTGTTGTGTTGTAAATTTCCTGAAAATTCCTATTAAAGGCCATCATAGATAGAGTCTCATGTCTCATGTGTTTAAGCATTGAATCCTAGAACCTAACCAGTCTATCTGAGTTTTATGTGTTGATACACATGATGCAAAGCCGAAAAGGACTTGGGCCGTGTCACCAAAAATTAAGTATTGATACTTTATGGTGGATATTAGCGCTGCACAGTATGTGCTCATTAGGTTGGTTGATATTAGCGCTGCACAGTATTAGGTTGGTTGATTGAACTATTGAAGATTGGTTAACGCTTTGTTCCCATCTTTTGCGTTTAATTGGTTCTTTGTCCTTGATGCTCCTCTTAACGTTATTTTACCATTTGGCAGTGCATACTCTGTATTTAACGAAGATTTTCGAGAACTTCCTGGAACACTCAATGCGGATAGGCTGGATAGGGACATTCGACATGGGCAGTTTTGAGTGAGGGGTTTCAGACTCACCGTACTTTGCAACTCTCTTTTGTGTTGGTATTTACATGAAATTTTAGAGAAACATTTGTAAAACTAACTCTTACCTCCAGCTCACTATTGGAGTTTTTCCAAGTAAATATATCGGCATTTATGATACCAAAGTAAATATATCCAAGTAAATTTATGATACCAAAAGTTTGTTAATTTTGTAAAACCAGCCGTTGGCGTGCCTTGTCCTTTATTTTTTTTTATTTTTTTTCCCTCAAACTATAATTATATTAAAACTCAAAAACTCAGAGAAAATACACCTAAAAGTGTCAATTGACACTACTATATCAACCTTCCGTTGGTTGGTAGATTCGATGCTACACTTAAGGGTAGTGCCACCATGGTGTGGAAATAGCATCTTTCATCTTTATTTTGTTAAATATTTGTTATTCTATGCAATTGTTATTTGTTTTTGTATTTGTATTAATCTTTTTAATTTTGTTTCACATATCATCATCATTTCATAATAAAAATCTAAATTTGTAATTTCATCTAAATAAATATACCTTGTTATATCCATTTTTATGTTTTGTATTTCTCAGTCTATATCAAAATATATTTTCCTTGTACTCATTTTATTTTTAATTGTTATCTAGCTCTGATACCATCTTTAAATTATCGTTTTAGGTGGTCCTATTTTATGTAATTTCTTACATTTTTGCTTATGCCTTTGTATATCAATATCTAATTGTTTTAATTTTTCTTCATCTTTTTCTATATATTTATATTGAATCAATTTTTCTATTAAATAATATATCTCTTTGATTTCCCTTCTTTTTAGTTCTGATAATTCAAGATTTATATCTCTCCTATCCATGTTATATTTTATTGTTTAAATTTATTACTAATGAGCTTAACTCATTTACCTGTTTATTTAATTTTTCTATTTCTACATTCCCTTTATATAAACTATTGCTACTATGAGGTTCTTCAATTTCTTGAATTTTTATTAAATTATTTTCAGTCATTTTTCCTAAATTTGAAGGATTCTAAATGACCGTCTACTATGTTCTCTTAAAAATGCTTTTTGGATTCTATCATTTTTAAGGGTTAATTGCTTAATAAACCTTAACCTTTTTGCGTTTGGCAATTTTATCTCAATCTTTGGGTAATTGCAATATAATATCGACCTCAATTTACTTATTGCAAATTTGGGTGCTGAGTGATTGATTTTAGGGATTTGTGGATCGATTTTGTGTCCAAGTTTTCCATTGACACGGGCTTTTATGTCATCCACATAGCAAGTCGACAATTTCCACATATTTAATGTATATCCACACACAAAGTCAAAAATTCCATGTCAATGTAAGCCACCGGTGATGAGTCTCGTTCTAAATCTGGAGTGAACTGGTAAATATGAGCTCCGATCTGTTCGAACTGCCTTCAAATCGACCAGTTTTTTGAAGGTACAACCGGTTTCAGGTTCGACTTGCAATAAGTAAATTGAGATTGAGATTATATTGCAATTACCCAAAGATTGAGATAAAATTGCCAAACGCAAAAAGGTTAAGGTTTATTAAGCAATTAACCCCATTTTTAATAATAGTACTGGTTTCATTAAATATTTTTTCTGTATATATTCTTTCTTGATTTTGATAATTCATACTTAAACTACTATTACTTAATGCATAGGCTATTCTATAACAAACAACCATAGGTATATCTCCTGATTCCATTAATGTTTTTTTCTTGAAAATTACATATTATTCCTATACAGTTATTAGTTTTCTTGGTTGATATTGGTATAGGAAATTGTAATGATATATTAAATTTACTCCATACCCTAAGTCTCCTTCTATTTCTCCTAACTTTCTTGATTCTTTATGCATAATTCTATTATCTTCAACTCTTATATTTACGGGTGTTTTTATTCCTTCTCTAAATGTTGATCGTAGTACTATTTGTACTGTATTTATTTGTATATAACTTATCTTTTTCCTATCTCCTTCTTTTATTTTTTCTAATCCTTTTTCTATTTGATTTATTTCAACTAAGGGTGCTTGAAAATTATAATTTGCTTGTTCTATTCTAATCGGTTGTTCTCCATTCATTATTCCATAGTGTATTATATTTTTTCTGTTTAGCTTTTTAGTATACCATTATTTATTCCTTCTTTCTTCTCTAAATCTAAATTTCCTTTATTCTTTACTTTTGTTACTACTTTTTGTCTAATAATATATCTGATAGGTAAATTCCTTGTTCTTCTATATTTTCTATAACATGATATTCGTTTTTCATTATTTTATATTTAGAATTCTTAGCCTTATTTGAACACTTAGAATAGATGTTTGGTATTCGACTTTCTTTATTAACTCTTTAATCCTGGTAATTGAAGAGGTAATATCATCATATATTCGGAGATAAACTTCATCGGCTACTGGATGCTCTTTAGGTGTATAAATTTTTACTAGGTTGAATAACATTTGTTCATTTCTTTTAACATTTTTTTTCGAAACGATAGATATTATTATAGATCAAAAGCGCACAAGTGTGCGAATACAAGCAACCATCGGTTGAAAAGTGGGAGGACAGGTCCAGAGACCGCCTAGAAGCCCGGCTAGCAACCGCTAGAAAGAAAAACTCGCAAATAAACTAAACAACTAAACAAGATCCCCACAGGGTAATAAAACAACGACTCAAACAACTAAAACAACTAAACAAGACCCCCACAGGGTAATACCGGAGTGTCGGACCCCCACAGGGTAATTAATTTGACACCCGGGAGCATAGAGGCCAACGGCCCAAACCTAAAACACAATCACAGACACTAAACAAACACGAACAAAACAAACACATAAACTGAAAAACAACCTAAATAAAAAACAGAGCCCAGCCCCAACGAACAGACAAACTACCTACTGCCTATACAGTAGAAGACACCGAGCCCCGAATCAATCCCCGAATAGACTCGTCTCGAACCGAGAGAGCCCCTTTCAGCCCCAACAAGCCCCACAAAATTCGTCTAACACCACTAGCCGAACTCAATCGGACCCGAATCCCCACCGCCAAACACCACTCGCCGGTGAGAAAGAGGCTAAATGGGGCCCTTAATCCAGACCACCGCAACACGAAGGCTGCAGCAATTCGGCACCCCATCCTTCCCAGTGACGTCTGCTCCGCCCAACACCGAGACGAACCCACGACCCCAAATTGGATCCCACCCAGAGAGCGGAACCCCGCCGGCACAGCAATCCAAGAACCACAGACGAGAGAAGAAGATAGGGCATACCTCTGCCACAGCGATAAGACGCCACCACCCACCGGAACTCGACGCGATCTCGAGCACACCTTCAATCGCGGACCCATTCTTGCGACATCAGAGGCGCACACCGCCAAGAGGAAGGACGGGCGGTCTTCGACGACCGCTGACCGAGCTTAATTCGCCGCTGGGGAAGGCAAGGAGTTTAAATCGCCGCCGCGAGAAAGGAAGAAATTGGTTTGGGGGAGAAGGGTTTCGGTTTGGGGAAAAAAGCTGCTTCCTAATTAATTACTCTTTTTAACATTTTTGTTAATAAAACAATTTGTTCTATTAATATTTTGAGACAAATTTATATCCTTATATATTTCTCTATATGGCATATACCAAAATTATTATCCATGAGAGACTAATAAATAACAAGTTTTAACAAGATAGATATAAGAGTACATGATTAAGAGAGTTACTTGATTCTGCCTGCTCTCAACACAATTCTGGACTTAATGGCCTTGATGCATACCAACTTTGGCCCTTTCACAGAACTTTCAGTGCTCTAGAGAGACTATTGCTAAATCAACTAACACTTTTAATCTTTCTTCTTATATCTTCTAAGTATTTAGAAACTCATTATATATAAAGGCATAAAACTTTTGAGAGAGAAAGAGTATCTTAAGAAATAATTATATTTCGAATTGCTGTGTTCCCAAATAAAGTTTGGGACACTTATTTATAGGCAAGAGATACAACTCTGCCCCCTTACAAGTGGCCTTACATGGCCGTCATCTTTACATTATAGGTTTTAAGTTGAGTGGGTATGGGTGGTGACTCACCATCCCATTACATAGTGCATTATTACAACAAGACAATTTTTTCAAAAGGAGGTGGATCCTCCACTAACTTCCACTATCTGCATTATTTCCTTCTGACGTAAGTGCTTACATCATTCCAGGATAGGTTCAAATTATCCTTGTGATTCTGGGTTGCATAATTCACAAATGTGATCCTCTGTGAATTCTTTCTGTAGCCTGATGCAAATCTCCTTCTTAATTATTTCTGAAATATCAAATTGTATTTTTATTAGTGTATCTAGATATTTGTTGAGTAATTTGATGTCTATCTCTGCTGGATCTCGTGCTTGCATACTCCAAATGATAATGGACTTGGCTGCATAATTATTCCGTCCCTTGATCTTAATGCCTTTTTTTAATATTATGACATAATTATTAAGGAACTGAATTAATTCGTCCTCATGTTGTGCTTGTCCGATGTCTGGATTATTTCCATTGCTTATTCCAATTTGACAAAATTGGATTGCTGGTTGTATTACTTCTTGTGACTTTTTCCCCTCCCAAAAAATTGGTGTGGTGGCGAATATCTTCATGAATCCTTCTTTTTTCCCGAGTACGTGTTTACCGTATTGGGAAATTGCCTTCTTGATGTTGATCGGGAAGTATTGGAATATATTTGCATCTCTGAAATAAATACAACTTAGTAATCCTGATTGGAACATCATGTATACCTTCATCGGATCTGCTTCTGGTAGAGCTATTGCTTTTGGTCCAAGATAAAGACCGTCGGTTGGATAGATACTTGTCTTCTTATCTTCATTTGTGTAATTAACCACAAACTTGAATTCATGGTCAAAAATATTTTTTGTCAGCTTGGTCATTTTTTCTTTTTGTTGTTTGGACTGTATGCTTCCAATTGTAAGTGGTCTGCTGCTTGGAATCTTGCCTAATATAGACATTTGCTTCTGTGCTGCTGTA